AAACGTTTCTTGCTAAACAACGACCACATACATATGTGGTACATGTACGTACACATGTACGTACATAAATGTGTAAGTATTTAAGAAAGCTGGCCCCTGTTTGTTTTTCCACCAGCAGCAGTAATTTGTACCATCATTTTAAGAGGAGCCCCACCTTCGTCCCGCTCCCCCAGATGACATGATAAACGACGCCAGCGTCTAATCCCGGCATGCAGCTCGGAGGTCAAAGTGGAGGTCAGTGGGCGGAGCAGGAGCCAGGCAGGATACACACGTCTGTTCGTGTTGTCCTCCGGAGGAAGTGAAGACGCCGACGCTCCAGGATTAGAAACGCAGAGCAATCTGGTGAAGATGTTAGTGCTCGGTCTGCCTGGGGCCCGACAGGGTAGAGGAGGATTTAAGAGGCCATCGCAGGGGATCAGCATGCAGGGAGCGATTAATATTTCCCAAACAGTGGAAGAGCAGTGCAAAGTTGTGGCCGTGTTTTGCCCCAGTCCTGTGTCAGTTTCCTGACAGCCCACTGGTACGACATGCACTAGTTACACGGGTTAGAACGAGACGAGACACCCGTTCAGATGTCTGTCTGCGTAGTGCAACGAGTTGTTATCCGCTTTAATGCGGCCGAGTGATGATCAGCATTTTCCGCGTTGGCTTCGGCTCTGCTGTGCGCAGGTGAGGCGAAGCAGCTCCAAAGTGTGCAACATCAAATGGTTGTGCGGGTGAAGATAAGCGTGTTTGACTATAAACCACCTTAACCTCATTACGGAGTCGCTGCTGCAGGTCACGGCGAACCAGGGTCAAATTAGAAGGGTGTGTTGGGTTCAACAGAGCTGATCCGCAGATCTGAACAGGATTACAGTCCAGGAAAAAAAAAAAGACACGTGAAACACTAGGGCTGTAGCTAATGATCATAGTTATCGCTTAAACTGTCGATTGTTTTGACAAACAATTGAATAATTATATTGAAACAAAAACGGTGTGCAGATTTTTAACTTGACCCTTTTTTATACTGTATTAGAAATACATTAAAAGATGCAAATAAACCAGTAAATTCAACTCTTTTTTTTTTTTTTAATGGAAAATTTTATGTTTTGCCTAAAATCAGTGACATGCTTGACCATCAGTAGCGAAGGATGCATAACAACAACAACAACAACAAAAAACGAAATAACTTCTATCAACTGTACAGAGCAGATTAGTTCATTACTTTTAGATTAGCAGTTCAATAACTGGACCTTAACAGATTTATTTATTGCAGTCAAAACGATGCCATGCGAATTCTGAGTGAAATACATTTGAAGACAAACTTTTGTTTTTATCCAAGATGCATTTGTACAGCTTTGACTTCTCTGAATATGTTGCACTTTCAGCAACTGGTCTTTTAGCCAGTCTGTGTACTCCAGTTAACGATTAATCAATCAATCAATAAGTTAGTTGATGCTTATTTCAACAATCGAGTCATGATTAATCCAATTGTTTCAGCCCTAAAAAAAAAAAAAAAAGTACTTTAGAAGCACTCAACGCCAAAACAATGTCCCGCAGACCAGCTAAAAGATTAGGTCATTGTCAGAATTTCTTGTCCTTTTGTCTCTGTAATGAAACTTTGATTCAATCTGTAAAGATAGGTAGGGAGTGTGAAAAGCAAGTGGCTCTCCTTTTGTTTGAAACTTGCACTGCAGCCCCATCAGGGTAAACACAGAGGTGACGACCCATTGTGATCCCAGCCATTCATATTAACAAGCCCGTGCAGGGAAGATAAACTCTGCCTTGTGGCAACAACAAATGGATCGGAGTTTACGCCACGAAACTAACGGAGAAGAAAAACTTCCAAAAACCGCAGGACCCAGGCGGGATGGCGATGGGATCTGCTGCACCCAAGAAGCCATGTTGGCCTGCTGTACCAAACCAACAGCTTCAGGCTATGCAAACAACATCAATAGCGTTGGGGTTTTTTTTTAGATTATGTATGTGGAACAGCTGTCAACAGGAGGTCTTTACAGTCAGATGACATAAAAAAAAAAGAAAAGGGGGAAAAAAATCACCACTAGGTACACATGTACCAGGGATAAAACAAAAATGATTGTCATGGCCACAGCTCCATCAATTGAGCCATAACAATATCTAGAGAATGTGTATGCATTCCTTACAACTTTCACATATTGCCACAACCAAAAGCAACGCATGCTACCGAGATCTCACACAAAGCGTACTGTTCCCGGAACAAGGATGGATGTCTGTGAAACGCTTTCACAAACAGAAGACACAAAAAAAAAAAAAAAAAACGAGGCACACATTTGCATCGAGCCCCTTTTACACCGACACCCCGAATGAAAATCCAGCACAACTCACCGCCTTTGTGTCATTTCGCCTCAATGTTGAGAACAGCAGCGAACAAACGGCATGGTGAAGACCAAAGAGCAGAGCAAGACAGGTCGGGGAATAAATAGCCGAGTTGGGTCAATCCCAGGTTTGGAGCAACTACTGAATGGAAATACTCTGTCACAGCTGGCCAACCAGAGAGATATGGCTGTTCCCCACAAACACTGGGGGGGTCAGGAGCTCCTATCAGGGAAATCGCTTCACATCACACGGCGAACATATGAGGAAGATCAAGCTGTGGGGGCTGAAATGCAATGAAAGACAGGAAAAAACGGAGTGAAGTTTTAAAGCACATCTGCTCTGAAAAGCAGATGGTGAAGGCATCCAGCAGCCTTATGGCTGAGGCTGAATGAGCCACTGGAGCAACAAATGGGAGCCTGTGGAACATTTACTGGCCTCCTAAACCACAGCAAAGAGGAAAGTTAGTCCAGCAAATTACTGGACGAGATCAAAGCCAATTCAAACGATGTGGCTGCCGCTGGTGTATCATTTGGGAGAAGATAAACTTCAAGTCTGCAGCTTCTGCTGCGTCGTAGCTCGTTAAAACTCTCAATTAGCGACCCGGAGCTGCAGACGTTTCAGTGAGAAACCTGCTGTTTCCCAACGCTAACCGTTAGCAAACTGAAACAGCTTCAATGTGAGCTTTAAAACAAGACTAGCGACAAGAAGCGGCAAAGAAAGCCGAGGGGTTTATCCAGTTCTCCCCTCTCAAAGCCTCTCTACCCACAAGCCGTGAAGTTTCAAATGAATCTGAACAGTTAACCAGTAAGCGGCGCGAGAGCGCAGCGACCGGACACAACCGAGCTAAACTTTCTGCTCAACTTTCAGTTGCTGTCGCGTCCAGAGTAAAGCGGGTAGACGTACCTCGTCCCGGCCATTTTTCACATTGTAAGCGACGCGGACGCGGTGAAGAAACTCGGCTCCGTTCCGGAGGGCTGGTTTTGTCGGAGCGGCGGGTTCAGGACGGTCCTCCCGGCGCTGCCTGCCTGGGTGAATCCGACGCGGAGTCTCCGCCTCCCCACGTGAATGGCGGGGTTGGGATGGGGGTCAGCCGGTCTGCAAAACCCCCCACCGACTTCCCAGCCCACACAGAAACTCCTCCTCCTCCACGCCACTCGGCCGCTTCACTCCCCGGCTGTCCGACGACAAGCCGAGGCGTTTGGGACTCGGTTCAGAAACGGCTTCAACGGCTGACCGTACAACTGCCACCTTTACGTCGAGCTACGTGTCGCTTATTACCGCTGGCCAAAACACATATGACTTTCTGAATTACCCAACCTTTTTTAAAAAAATTAGTACCACTTTCTGCTGTATTCACTGAGTTTCACAGTGTTTAGTAAAACAAAGCTCACCTGAAGACCTACTCTTCAAGTAGGAGCTGAACAAGCAACCCTGAGTTCAGCATCCAATATGGCCGCTTATGAGCGTTTCCTATTGGAGCAAAGAGCAGCTTTTGTGTAGTGTAGTGGATGGAGTCATCATATATTTGGGTGGAAATCGAGAAAGTAGCATCCATATGCAACACAAACTCAACAATGGAGGACGTGGAAGCTATGTTGACCATTCTGCTTGGTCCGCCATCATTCTTAAAATTTCCAAGTACACTCAGTGGTGGTTGTGGGTTGCACAAATGACAGGTCAGTTGCTCTTATGACAGCCAGTGACTCCTCCCCCTAGCCAATCAGTGACCTTTTCAACCTGACTGAATACTTGGGACCCCAGCAGAGAAGTTTCTAAAAATAAAAATAGGGGGCTGGTACCATGTAACTGGAAAACTGTTATTAGCAGATGTTGCACTAATGTAAAAGAGCCATACATTATAGTAATTACTACCAGTATCACCTGTAAACCACTGGTTTCTTGTTATGTACATAAAAACTGATAAAAATAAATTGGAGACTCTTATACCATAACAGCACTTCCCACCGTTTTCCAAATTGCAACCAAAATGCCCTCTTCTCTGATTTGAGCCATTCATCTGAAATCCAAAGGTAACTCAAATATAGAATCCGTACTTAAACTACTGTTACTAATCAGAATCTCAGACAGTTTTGTTTTTCAAATTGGGCATTATAGCTTTCCACCCAGGACAACACACCACAAGGAATGTCCTTCGTAAACAGGTTTTCGCTCATTTTCAGAATGACTCAAAGGAAATAAGTATTGTCAGAAAAGTGTGCACAGCTCATTACGTTGACGGAGCATCTGCTTCACAGCTTATGATTCAGTGGTGAATCAAGAGGTCATTTCAAATCTGAAACGTTTGACCGATTACACCTCAGCTGGATGATTTGATTCGGAGCAACAGAAAAAGGGTCAAAGCTACAAACTGCACTGATTATAGAGTGATAAGTTCACTCAGATCTCGGTTTGCTCCGTCACATAGCACTCGAGTCTTGGACTCATGAAAATGTTTAATTGTCTTAGAGAACATATGCACCTTTACTACCCAGGTTTAATTATGTGTTTTTATTTTCTCAAGCTGCATCTCGCTGCTCTCTGAACTGCAGCACTCTGCGTGAACACCGCTCAGCGCATTCGCCCAAATGACCTCTTGTCCTGTGGACAAGCAGACAGAGACACCTGCTGGACAAAAACAACATCATGACAATAAAACAATAAAATGCATGCCATTTTTTTTTATTTCAAACAAGACACTTTATTATCCACAATTACTATCAGCTCTAGCTAGGTCAATGGAAATGTTTACAAAGAAAAACAAAACATGATCTAACGAAAAGCAAGTACTTCACAGCAAGTAATATTAAATTGATTCCCCCTCTCCCCCCTCTGGCACAGAGTAGACTATGTATTGATAATTGTACATCTCATCACAGTGAATCCTTTAAGTGCTTTTCTCATGTAAATAAGGACAAACATACAAATCATGGGATTTCTGAAGCCGCTTCTTACCCGATACGTTCATTTTTGTCAACTTGTACATTGAGGTCTGCCTCTTAAGTATTATAAAAAATATTGTAAACATTTATATTAATTGCACGACATACATTCAAATACATACTGTACTGTACAGCAAAGGTGTAAGTCCGTGTTGTTATCCAGTAGCACCATGTATAGCAAGCTAAAGGAACTATATAGAAACCTCTAAAGTGTGGAACAAAGGAGTAACTTCGTGATCGGCGGTCAAAAATCCTTCAGTTCTAACTGTGAGGGAGTGTTCAGTGAAGGCCTATTCAAGGGTTTTCTGTGTAGGTGGTCGAATGATTGTGAAAGAAAAGTCTGGTCACGTCACATCTCACGGCTGTGAGGGAGATGATTCCTCATAAAAGACATTCATCAGTGTTAAAAATCAACTACACCACAACAGATTATGGCGAGGAGTTGTTTTGTTTTTTTTTTTTTAGTTTTTTTTGTTTGTTTTGATTTACAGTTCGTTGTTGGAAAGTTCACATCACTTCCAGGTGCAAACACGTCGGTGCGGTAAATATGTTCGTCCGGTTCCTCGTCAGCACGCGCCAGGGGGACGTGACGAGGCCGTGATGTCATCGTGTAGCAGCAGAGTCGAAGCGTAGCTCATCGCGTTTCCATCCCGGTCCCGTTTCCCGCCAAAGAAAGCAGATTAAAGCGATATTCTGAATGTTATCTACAAGGATTGCTGACAAAACTGGACGGCTTCTGGACACCAAACTGACCCGAATGCAAATGATTATGAGATGTTTTCCGATGCAGATAACTTAAGAAGTTTTCTTAGCTTCTTCAGTCTTAGTGTCTCATTTACACAAAGGCAACAAAGAGCAGCTCTCCCAAAAACTAAACCTGGTTTAGAGATGAATAGTATCTCAAGTTCATGGTTCAGCGAAGTGTGGTCAAGGTCCTTAGGTCTGTGTATAGCCTCCATGCTCCGTCCTCTGCTGGAGGAGACTGGGGTGGTTTGGGGCTGCAGGTGGTTACCCAACCCATCCTTCCCAAATCTGTCCTCTGCAAAACCAACACATAAAGCCGTCTGAGTTAAAAGTGCAACCTGAGGCATCCGATAAATACCGTCGCTCCAGTGCTTTCTACCGCCACTGTAAGAAAAAGCAAAAATAGACGATAGGAGGACTGACAATACAGCATCATAGAATGACTTTTTTCCCCCTGCATTGCATGAATGTTCTTGACTCGACAAGATGAAGGAAGAAAAATGAGCCGCGGCTTTGCAATGTGGGTTGTTACTGTAAATGAATGAGTGCAGAGCTAAAGCAAATGGCAAGCTGCTGGGTCGTCTGAGCGAGCTAAACAAAAACCCGGAGAGAAACGGGGCGACAGGAGTGGAGCTTGTTTGGCTGACTACAAATAGCAGATGGGTTATGACAAACTCACAGCGACTTGGACGAGGGCTTCTTCATTTTTGGCCTCTTTCGACGATGAACTGGCCTGAGGCATGCACAGCATGTACACACGCGCAGGCCAAATGCACGTGCATGGAAACAAACAGGTAAAGACGCAGGCGTACACACGTAGAGGCATGCACACGCACAAACACACACACTCACACACACACACACACACACACACGCACACACACACCACACACACACACACACCACACACACACACACACACACACACACCACACACACACACACACACACACACACACAAAACAGAGATGAGTCATTAGGGGTCAAAAACAGGACCGGCAGAAACAGCAGAGCAGTGCTTGCATGTTAGCCTGTTTGGTGTTTGTTTGAATCTCACTGAAAAGGTTTTGGACTACGATAAAACATAGAGGCTTAAAATAAATTCTGATTATTATTTTTATTGATTGCTCTGACTGCAGACAGAAAGCAGAATCATACAGTGCCTTGCAAAAGACTTTACAACCCTTCAGATTTATACATTTTCAGTATCAAGGGAACCACTTGTTGCTGCTAACGGGGCGAACCAATAGTCACAAGGGGCCGTAAGCAGGACTTCATTTGGGCCCCGTCCCCCTTTTCAACACCTCTAACAGCGTTTTAATCCAGATGTGTTGGGATCTGGAAAGGGGGGGAGCTGAAAGCAGTCAGAGATACGATAAGGCAAGGTAATTTTATTTATAGAGCACATTATCAGCAACAAGGCAGTTCAAAGTGCTTTTAATTAATTAGAAGGAAAACAAGAAGCCAAAGGAAAGAAGAAAAAGTATAAAACTACACATTTAAGAATGATCAGTCTGTAATTGTTTCTCTGGATTCTTGTTCTGATAAGGTTGATCTAGGGTAGTAAGGTGAGTTCTTCTGGATTCTAAGTTGGTTTCCGGGATTAGCCAGAAGGAGTTTCTCTGCATAATAACATAAAAAGTATGACATTGGTCTACATAATGAATACTCCACAATTTCTACAAGTAATATGAGTTTGTTTGAACTAATAAGAATATTAGAATAAGCAGAATGAAATGACAATGTTGGAAGTGATAATTGATCTTATTTGCCGAGACGTGTTTATGGACAAACTCAAACACAAAGAAACCATTAAACTCATAGCATCAGCTACACTTTCATAAAGTAAACTTCACAATTCCATTAAAATATTGGAATCTTTCAATTTATCGATGCCCGGACCAATAAATCAACTTTAATATTGTCAATCTTTATAAACAACAGTTTACGGGAGGCTCCTGAAGGTCTGGGGGCCCCTAAGTAGCGGCTTAATTCACTTATGGGCCGGGCCGGCTCTGACTGCCGGGTATGGAGAACCTCAGCCTCAAATTGTGTGCTGCCTGTCAGAAGCAATGCCTGTATTTAGTTACCTTGTTTGTTATGTAATGTTTGTAACAAACCTCTAAATCCTAAACAGTGTTTTACCCTGAGATTTAATCACACACACTGCTGCTCTCTATCTAGTAATCAGATAGCAGATGGTAACGCTGCAGTTGTCTCGTGGTGGAGTAAGGAGTCTATTTCCTTTTTTGTATCATTCTCCTTCCACTTTGCACTCATGCCCTACTTTGTGTCTTAACAGGGGCAATCCTGATGAACTGATAACATGACAAAATGTGAAAGTGTTGCGTTCGCTTTTGTAAGGCACTGCAGACGAAGTTTTGCCGTACAGACAGAAGCCTCCCTGATTTCATTTTGTAGCTTTACTTCCATCTGGAGTGATTGTAAAAGCAATCAGAGAGGAAGACATACCTGTATTCACTGATGTGGCTTCTCTCCTTTCCCCCTGGAAGGAAGTTAAAGGGATTAACGTCGCTCCAAAAGGACTCGAGAAAAAAGCGACTCATCATGTTCTACACCGAGAGACGTGTCTTACTCACCCTTTTCCGGGTTGCACTGCTTGTGGCCCTTGCAGCTCCTCAAGCCCATAAGCTGTTGATGCATTGAGTTGAGCGCGTTGCGATCCAGAGTGCTGACAGCATTTATCAGCTGTGGGAACGAGCGAGGACAAAATGTCAACGAGCGCGTCGTAAACTCTGGAAAATGTCAGTAAAGCTCAACTCCTGTGGACAAAGGAATGCACTGCATTTTTAAAAAAATATAGTTATTATTGTTGAAGTATTTATACCCTCCACTATAGGTGTGTCTGTGCAAACAAAATACCTGGTAGGGGTCAGTACTGAGGTCAAAGTATTCCATGAACCCGGTGGCAAATTCACAGAACAGGAAATTGTGTGTGTCATTGATGGTCCTCAGGCACCAGTATGTGTTGTTGTTGGCACTGGTGCACGCACAGAACGGACCCACTGCAGGGAGAGGGAGGCCGAAGGGGAAAGGGAGGAGGCAGATTTAGAAAACAACAGCTTTTCAGAAAAAGGTCGCCATAATATTGTTATTATCTCATCTGCTGTGCCAAACGGCGGCAGAGACAGAAAACATGTTCCAAAACACTTTCTGAAAAGCTATTTGTCGTTCCTTACTCGTCCAGAAGGGGGCGGTCTGCCAGTGATGATTGTCGTGTGTGAAGCAGGTCAGGCCAGGCATGCTGCAGGTGTCGTTGTTCTGGAGCCGCTTCAGGAATTTGCGCAGTTTTTTTCGCCGCTTCTGCTCCTTCTGCAGCCACTGAGTCTTCTGCTTGGATGGCATTCTGACGGGAACAAAATCTGTCAGGGTGTCTGAAATATTAAAAACATTTTTAAAAGCCTTTACTACTGAAGTAAAGTTTTACCTGAGAGAGTGCATTTGCTCCACGTTTAGCAGATAAGCCTCCTTATTCTTGAGAAGATCACTGAGGAGACAAATTTCAGCCGTCACATTTGGTGAATCTCCGCGGCCCGACTCATTTCGGATGACCTGCTCACCTGGGCGCGTTGCACTGGCATTCCTCTGGCCGCACCTTCTTCAGGTGACCTTTCACCTCGCGCAAGTTCTTGATTTTGGTCTGCAAGGTTTCAATCTGAGAGTAGAAGAACCAGAGAGTCACCAGGAGCACGTTATACGTCAGACAAACTCAGCAGAGTTTTATCTGAACTCGGTAGAGTGTTATTAAAAATGGGAGCACCTCGTGCTCAATGTGCAGTTTGTGGTCCTTCCACGCTTGAAGGGACTTGTAGAGGCCCCCGTCACACTTCACGGTGTCGTTCATGAGGATCGAGCATCTGCACGTAGAGAAAAATCCGTGCATATTTAGTACAACACAATGAAACTTAAAATCCATCCGGTGTAAATGCTTCCTACTGAAACAAATGGATTTATCCGACAGTGAGAGCCGTCGGATAAATCTAACTAACTTCCTTTTGTCATCTCCAATCAGAAACAGGTTCCTCAGTTGAATGGAATATGTTGTAAATCTATATTTGTGAATACTTAATAAAACTTTAAATTGCTGCACCTTTTATTATCATTATTTTAGACCTTCAAAAAGCAACTTTATTTTCATTGCAGAACTTAATAGTTTGTTTTAAAGACGCACAAGTACTTTGTAATTCTCTTTCTCTAATATGTAAATTCATGTATATCTTGTTAGAAGTTGCGGTATGTCAGCAGGTGTGTGTGTGTGTGTGTGTGTTAATGTGTGTGACATGGGAATCGATTTACATTTGCTGTTTTTTTAAAGAAAGATCCAATTTAGGATTGGGTTTGCAAATTAGCCAATGGCCAGAACCCCTTCTCCCCCAAAACAATGGATCTTTGTTTTCATCATGTACTGTTGTTTACTGTGCTGTCCCTGATTCAATAAACTTGAACAGATTCAGCCGGTGACCAGACTCGGGATTATTTACAGCTTCTTTGTTTTCGGCCGGTTGGATTTGCAGAAATCCAATCCTTGTCCAATCGCCGAACATAATAAAACCAAACAACTGCAAAGGTGCAACAACTTTAATCTTCATTGCTGGAAGAGCGCCCAAAGTTATCTGTTGCTGGTATAAGTGGGTTTAAAATTTAAGTTAGAGGAAGAATAAATACTAAAAAGCTCCTTAAAAAAGACATAATGCATTTTCTAACTGTTGAGAAATGAGGTGAGAACGAGTGACAGAGAGAGACAGAGAAAGAGAGAGAGAGAGAAAGCAAGACAAGAAGGATGAAAGTATCACAACAAAGTTGCTCTGTTTCATCTTGAAACAGGCTGGATGTGTACTGTTCTCTAGGGAATACAATAAGGTTGCTTTAGTAATGATAAGCTTGCTAATCGCTTATAAATGGTGTTGGAATATCAGCTTTGTTCATGTTTTCTTTATTTCTAACTTCTGGTAAAACCCTGTTTGAAGAAGCTTTGATGTGTGAAGCTGTATTTTTTCACTCGCTGCACCAGAATGACTTAAGCACGTGCTAATCATTTTACTCCATAATGTGAAATGATGCTAATCATTTTACTCCATAATGCGGCACGTTTACAATTCCTGTTGTTTTGGTTTGAAAAGGAACCATCAAACACAGAACATCAATCTGTTTCCATCGTGTTGAAGTTTCATCAAATCGTCAAAGAGGCTGAACGAATATACACAGTGTTGCTGAACACAAGATGCTAAAGGCATTCTTAAAAAACACAAACACTGCAATCCTGACGTTGTCTCTGCTTCTAACAGAAATTATTAACAAATGCTCACAGGGGCAAAGCTAGAAATTAACATTTACTTTGTTTAGTAATAATTTTTAAAGAAAAATCGGTGCTAGAGCTTTACCAAAACCAAAGGTCACAAATCAGTCACATATTTCTGATCATTACAGCTGTTATAAATCTGTAAAAAAAAAAAAAACAACAACAACAACCCTCCTTTCATGGAGAAATTACTACTTCATTTCAGAACAAACAAACACTGAGCTTACTGTGAGTTTTATTCCGAGACACATGCAGTAGTTTTGGACCTGACAGCTTGAATATTTGCATGCCCCCCTCCCACACACCTGTAGGTGACTTTCAAAGCAGCAGGTGGTGTGAGCTTGTCACGGGTGGTTGGCTTGGCTGTGACTCCCATTCCGCTGAATTCTTCGCCGTCGTCTCTGGCGGCCGCGCCTCTCCACCTGTCTCTGGTCCAGCTGGCGTTCCCGGATCCCAGGGGCCTGTAGCCCTCCTCCAAGTCGACGGCGTACAGATCTCCATCCAGCTCGAACGAGACGGAGCGCGCCCAGCGCTTCCTGGTCTCGGCCTTACTGGACTTAATCTCTGCAGAATAGGAAAGAGATTCATTTGATTGACAGAAGATAGTCTGAGCACATTTGATCAGAGTGGATGCATTTTACAAACATCGTACATGCCAAATTTGTTTCTTTGGAATGATTTAGGGCTCAAGTGATTTCTCAACTCCACCACTTGGTGGCAGCACTGACACATGCCTCTTAAGTCATGAAAACCTGGTTGTTTTAATAACAGGTTATAGACCCGCTGCTTCCTTTTCAGGCACAGAAGACGTGTATTTCTGATTAATTCATGGTGTAATAATAGTTATTGGTACAGCAGAACAGTAAAGTGAGATAAGGAACTCACTCTTTTTGTTTAGGAGTCTCTTCTTCTTAAGGACAGACATTTTGAGCCCCCCGTCGGCGCAGTTACAGTCGTCAAAGTTTGAGGTGACAGACATGGTAGAGGGACTGCTGGCCATCAGAGCCTGCATGCGAGGGGCAAACAGACCCGCCATGCCTTTACACTTATACAGCCTCAGCTTGCCCGTCGGATCCTCCACACACTGCCACTTCTGGAACAAAACCAAAAAAGGAAGGGGAAATGCATTTAAGAGGGATCTATTGAAATAAATTTATATTTTACCATTTTTATTCTTTCCTTTGGGTCTCTGCTGCTCCTAAAAGCAGCCGGTCATGTTTTGGCAACAAGCTGATGCTTTTTGGTGTCTGGAAAATGAGCCGTTTCAAAAACCTTCCGATTGCTGAGTCACTGCACCGTTACTGAGCAACCCAAGTGGAGCTCCAGCACACTTGGCCGGCTGGTTTTACTCTTTATGGGCTGTACAATGGCTGCTGGAAAATGCAAGTGTTTTGTTGTTGACTTACCATCCAGAAACCGCTTGTTGCATTCTTATTGGTTGAGCAGGCTTTGAAACTTTGAATGGGTTTCAAAGCCGTAGGGTTGTATTATTGTGCATCTGTTTGTAGCCATTTTCACATGCGATTGTAAACATCGAGTTTGGGAGGGGGGCAACAGCAGCTTATTTGGCTTTAAAGTGACGAGAGGCCCTGAAATAGATCATTCTGAAAGGAGCTCAGATTAAAATCTCATTATCAAAGAAAGATTCTGTGCAAAAAATATAACGAACATGCTTTGCATATTCATTGCGTTCTTTCCTAACGTGTGTAACAGTTCACCTTTAATGATGTAGCACTACATATTTTTCCAGATTATGAACAAATCTCAAAGATGTTTGAAAAAAGTTATATCCCGACTCAGTCCTCTTTGTTCATAAAGAGATTAGGTGCCATTTTCAAACGCATCCCTGAGCTTACAGTGACTGAATGGCACAGAACGTTCACAGATGGCAAATTACTATCCTGCCATGGCAACACAGTTTGTATTTTTTTTTTCTGGAAATTAAATAGGCTCCCCTTCTTGGCTCATACAGGTCAGGTACCTGTCCCGGTTGTTGGCATGAAGTTTGATATTCTGCTTTCTGGCACAAGTCCTTCACCCTCTGGTATTTTGGCAGGAAGTTTTCCTCCTGGGCCATTTCCTTCCCATCGGCTCTCTTATGCGGAGGCTTCCTGAAAGAACAGACAGAACATTGACAGGGAGGCCGATGCTGCCAGAACACAGCGCCTTGAATGAGAACGCGTCTTACAAAAAGGTCAATCAATAAAACATACCCCCTCTCCACCAGGAAGGAGTCTCTCCATGTTTTACCCTTCCTGTTCAACTGGAACCTGAGAAATCAGTAAAAAAAACAGACAAAAAATCCAAAACAGACTGTGATATTTGCAGTGAGCAAACATCTGTGGCATTTCGAAATGTCACACTCCGATAGAAGATAATGATGCTGTACCTCTATGTTTGAATTGTGAATTTCATTATGTACGACAAAGCGCTTCGTTTTGGGAAAAAAAATTGAAAATAAAAAATTCTAGCTAAATCCCCGTTTGACTTGGTAGGTTTCACTCTTCCCTTTTCTAAATGTCGTCCAGGAACCGTCGATGGGATGCTAAGACGCCGAGCGTGTTCACCTGTTCATGGGTCGATCCGAGGCCAGAAGTTTCAGGATGGACTTGCCATCCATTTCGGCAGGAATATCGACACCTGCCATCTCCAGCATAGTCGGTGCCAGGTCAACGTTCAACACGATGTGAGGATTTCTGCCAAGAAACAGCAAACTCAATGTCATAATGTTGTTTCCCCCCAACAAAATATATAGACAGTTCAAAGTGCTTTACGTGAATTAGAAGGAAATACAAACAAAATAACAAAACCAAAAGGTAAAAGTATAAAACTACATGTTGGTTCCCCGTGTTTGATAAGAATAAATAATCCATTATTTATAAACTAGTAGGGGTTTCTCTGCATTTTCTCTCTGATAAAACTAGATGCTGGTTCTTCATGTTTGGTAAGATTAGTGAGCATCACTACTTTTAATTATTCCTACTTTCAATTAGATACAATTTCTGAACACTGATTGCAGACAAGCTTGTTTTAACCAAAGAGGCACCAGACTCACAGACAGACCTGTGGTTTTTGAAAGTTTCATAAGTTTTATTTTGAAAAAATTTGATTTGCAAACATTTTTTTTCTTTCTAATTTTGTTATTTTGTAGTTATGTTTTTACATGAATTATTTTAATTTTAGTCTGTTTGATGATGATTTTTAAAATATTAAATGGCTGACATCATGGATCAGTTACTCAGTACATTTTTTACCCTCGAGTAGTTTCTTGGACGACTACTTTTTACTTTTACTTCAGTAAAAATTTGTTGAAGCTGTGCTGCTCTTACTTGAGCACAATTTCTGGGTCCTCTCTTCACCTCTGGCCTTTTTATTTATACAGAACTTTGAAAATTATGCATCATTTCCCTTCCACTTTACAATTATGTACTTTTTTCAAATCTATAACTTAAAATCCCAACAAAATATTTACATAAAATGTGCTAAAAATAAAAATTTGTTGACTTCTTTCTTGCACCAGACTTCATTCTGGGGTATCAGCATAAAAAGATCTTAATTCAAATTCACAGAGTGTTCAAACCTGTTAATTCATAAATCCTGCATCACTTCCTGTCAGTTCATCAAATAAAACACGTCAAAGACTGAGATTTCAACATGATACAATGTGATCATATGCAAAAGAGTGAGTACTTCACTACAACAGTGATTAATTTTGCTGTCAGGAAAATGAGCAGGGTAGGAGAAATACTCACGTAGCGCCTTGCTCCACATTAGGCCCCCGTACGTAGAACGGCACGCGGATATCGAACTCGTAGGGCATTGATTTGCCCTTTACCAGTCCAAACTGGCCGATATGATAGCCGTGATCTGAGGTGTAAATGAGGTAGGTGTTGTCCAGTTCTCCCGTCTCCACCAGCATGTTGTACACCTACGGGGAGACACAACTCATTGAGCAGGCTCACGGGGTGGAAAAGAACAAGAAGAAAAAAGTTACACTTTTTGTTTGATAGCTCAAATCTCTTGTGCCAGTTTCAAGGAAAAGGAGATTGAACAATTTGCCAAGTGTGTCAGTGAATTCATTACCCCAGGCCCAGTCAGAACAAGCACAGATCTCCCAGGACCGCTGGCTGTCAGACGGGCGGTACGTGTGCGTCCATGTTTAAGGGTTGATGTGCGTATAGGCTCACTATGTACCTTTTGCACGCTATCGTCCACGGACAGCAGCGTCTGCATCCTCCTGCGCTGGAGCATGTTGGTGAACTGCATGTGGACAGGCTTCATTGGGCCAGTGTAGCGGAGGATCCAGTGCTTGTCTGGGTTGGGAGCGTAGTTGTAGCTCGGCGTTCTTTGGGGGTGGAAAAACCAGAAGATGAAAATAATGGGCTATAAATGATCAACTACTGAAACTCTCCATTATTGAAAAGGATTTCATATTAAAAATGTATTGTTTTTTTTTCAGACGGCACAATTTAAGGTAAATGCTATATCTCCAAGCTGTCGTAAAATGTTTATAGTTCTGTTGTGCCGACGCAGCATCATTTTCTGCTTGCGAAGCCTAATGACTTTCCAGAATCGAAAGAGAACTATTTATTCAGTGTTGTAATGGATCTTATATAAGTAATGTAAAAATGCTAATCAATATGGCTGTGCATTTTAATGAAAATTTAACACCACTCCATGTTGATAGTTGATAATTTGGAAATAAGTGCCAAAGAGCAAAGGGGAGTGAACGCTAAGGTGGACTGACAGGAAGATAAAGTATCACTGTTTTTTATTTTTTCTGCAAATCAAATAGATTGTAAAGTTCAGGACAAAAAGAAACGGAGAAATAAAAAAGGACTTCGCAGCATCAAAAACCCAGGAGGGCGCGCATTTATGGAGAAGCAGCAATTAAAAGTTTCCACAAAGACACAGAGGTTGAATTTTCTGAGTCTTCTCTGTACAAAGCCAGTGTGGTACAGGTTAATGATGCTGGAGGGATTAGAAGAAGCAGTACGGGTGTGAGGGGAGGGTGGGCCGAGGGAGGGAATAGTAACTACAATCTCATTACTGGCCTTGGATCCTTCTCTGGAGGCCAATAGTGGGCTTGCTATTAGCCAGCAGCTACAGAGAGGCAGCCAGAGGTACAAAAGGTCAGAAAAAAACAAAAGGCTTGAACGAAAGAGGTACACGGTTGTGCATATGCGCGACGAAATCATTACCTACACATTAAAAGTACATAATTTATCTGTGATCATAGCTGGCAAAACAGTACAAATCAATGGGGCTCATTGTGGTGACAACACTAACATGAACAACACTCGAGCCAAACAAACTGGAGCAAATGAAGAAAAAAAAAAAAAAACGCTGGCTGTGCATGCAGATGTCCCGAAGCTGCCAACAGACAACTGTAAGCAGTGGAAGACGACATCCAGCTCAGATTATGAAATTTGTGTCAATCTGGGTCAAATGAGAAGAAGCGTGAACACAGGGATGAGTCACTTGTTACCAAACAGCAGAGAGAAAGTAAAAATGTACCGTGTACTTGTCAGCTTTGTCTTGCAGAGATCACACAAATTCTCCACGATGGAAAAAAAAAATGAACCTTTTATTCAAACACCTTGCAGTTTAATTGAGCATGAATAGTGAAATACAGAACCTCGTGAAAGCTGTCGACCCCTTAAACATCCTTGCATTTTGTCGAGCTACAATAACATTTTTTTATGTATTTTTAAAGGATTGTGGCTGATGGACCAAACAGAATTATGAGGTGGGAGAATTATGAGCACTGATTGCGCCACACTTTTTATTATCTAGAACAAAAAGTGTGTGATTTGATGGCCCCTATTACACTGACACCATAAATGAAATCCACTGCAAACAATTGACTTAAGAAGTCACCAAATTAATACTCAACCGGACGTGACATCGACCTGAAAGAGACCTTTCAGTTCCAAAATCTAATTTTCCCTCTTGGTTGGAAAAACAAACACGTAAGCTTTCCAAATTCAGAGTGGGAAAACTGGATGTTTCTTCCCCAAACAGACCTCAAAATCCAATATGGCTGCCGTAAATGGTTTATTTGTACTCTGTTGATACATGGTTTTAATGAATAAAGTCAAGAGGAATCCATTGTTATTTCTATTGATGTTAGCAGCAAGTTGATCAAAAGTAAACAAAGATGCTCTCTCCAGATCAGATGCAAGGTTTTGGTTTGTGGTCATCCATTTTGTACCAGTCAGTGGTACTTGTACTATAGTTTAAGAGCAATGGGTTTAGATAAAAGTGGACTCATCTATCAGAAAGACCCAGTCAAAGTCCAGATCTAATTAATAGCTTGTTGCAAGACTTTTACTTTTGCAAATGTTTTCCTGAAATCTGACTGATCTACTAACCTACAAACATGAATTTACAAAGTTTTGATTCTGGGGGCACAACATGTGAGTTTCCATTTGTTCAATTATTTTAAACACACATCACAACTGGCTTTTTTTTCTTTTTTTTTTTTGCTGATCTATCCCAGTTGTTCCCAAACTTTCCAGCTTCTGTGTCTTACATGTGCTGAGAGGCGTTGGGAAAGGCAGCGCTGTACTGCGGGGCAGAGTCCTCTGGGCCGTGTGGAGCTACATGGCTCAGGACCATCAGGACGGGCCGGTGAGGGTAAATCCTCTTGGACATCCGGAAGTAGTTGATGCTGTTGTTGGTGATGATGTCCGTCAGGTAGTCCTGTGGAACAAGCAATTATTGCCCACCAGGCACTCAGCAGTCATTGACAATACAGCAGATGTCGAAGCGTATGCTGCTACGCTGGGTCAGTGACAAATACTAATAAATTCCGTTTTTCACTTTGTCAAACTGATGAGACTTGTTCGATCAATCCACTGCTTGCATTTGGTCCAACAGGAGTACAGAAGAGTATGCATCATGTACACATTTGGTTAAATTATAGATTTGATTTTAATTCTACACAGTTCTGCAATCTTTCACATATTTGTAAAAGACGTAAAGTATTTTGAGAAGGGCTAATAGAAGAGCTATGTTGTGATGACTTCCTGAAGGTGGAGTTTCAGTTTTGAAAGAGAACTTCAAGGCGTACAATTTGGAAGTATGGTATTTTATTATGGTATTTTTATAACCACTTGATGTTAACCTAGTTAATTTATTAATTGATTATGCTATAAAATGGCACTGGGTGAAAACATAATATGACCCCTTTAATATAATGTTGCCTCACCTTTTAGGAGCTATAAAAGATGCCACTCTTTAGGGAAAGTATTTCAGTATTACAATGGAAAATTTGGACTATTCTTCTGAAACCCATTTGTGAGGTCACACACTGATGCGGGACATGGTTGACGGTTTCCATTTTAATTTGAGGTGATCTATAAAGTTGAGGACTTTGTACAGCTCAACCAGAGTTTTCCCTCATTAAATTCAGTGAGCCGTTTCTTTACAAATCTTTCTTTGTGTGGTGGAAGGCAGTGATGTTGGAGCAGGAAGGAGCCGTTCCCACAAAATTAAGACCATGAAATTGTCCAAATTATCTTTGTATGCTGAAGAATTAATGGTTCCATTTACTGGAGTTAAGGAACTGAACACAACACCAAAAAACGACGGCCCCATATCATTATCCTCTTTTCACCAAACTTAACATAATGCTAAGGCAGGTGCCGTTTCCCTGACCAATGCCAAACCAGGACTCCTCCATTAGATTGTTGGACTAACAATCAGTAGTAGAACTCCACTAGTAGAATCAGCAGTAGAACTCCACTCTACTGCTGTGGAGTCCAGATGTAATGTCTTCTACACCACTGCATCTGATTATTCGTCTTACAACTTGAAATATAAAATTTGGATGTAGCCGCTCTCTTTCTTGAGCTGATCTGAGAACCACGTGAAGCCATTTACTCTGCAGAAAGTTGGTAATCTCTAGGCATGAAGCAACTTATCGCCCTTTGACCCCGCTCTCTGATTATACATATCCTAGCAATTCATAGCTGATTAGTTCATTCTAACACATGAATTCAATGATTTGGGTGGACGACCCAATAATGTGTGTTTAGTAATAATAGTCTCTAAATGTGAAGTGCTTAAAATTTATACTATAATAACCAGTTTTCTACAGTAGGCCATTGTTTTGGGACATTTGAAGAAGTAATGGAGTATCAATACCTTTGGGTAGTCGCTGCTGTGTTTCTCCCGTACTCCATTTCTGCAAAGGGTGTAGTTGTAGAAGCGGGAGTTTTTCACCAGCGCCACCCATTCCTTCCAGCCAGGTGGCACATAGGAGCCATTGTACTCGTTCAGATACTTTCCGAAGAACGCTGGGTGAAGATTCGGGAGCAAAGATATTAAAGATCTTTTCTGCACGAGTTCTCAGGACTTCGATAAAAACGTGAAGGCTGTCACGGCAGTACCGACCCGTTCTGTAGCCGGAGTTGTTGAGGTGCACGGCGAACGTGTGCGGCTCGTGGTGCGCCTGCCACGAAGGCGAGGAGCAGTTCTCGTTGTTGGTGTAAGTGTGGTGGTTGTGCACGTACTTCCCCGTCAGGATGGAGGAGCGGGACGGGCAGCACATGGGGGTGGTGGAGAAAGCGTTTGAGAAATGAGTGCCTCCCTTCTCCATGATGTGGCGAGTTTTGTTCATGGACTGCATTGAGCCTGAGAGAGAGCGGGGATGTAAGGAGGAAGAAAAAAAAGAGGATCTGGTATTGGGGCGGAGCTGGCAGGGTTACATTCAAAGGCTAACAACTGAAATATAAAAAAAACCAAGGTGAAAAATTGTTTATTTTAAATCTGGAAATTCTAGAAGCACAGCTGGGAAAATGCAAATATACACTTACAGGAGAGGGTAAAATGAATAGGAATAAAGTTGGAGAGAAAAAAAAGCGCTGGACTTATTTGAGGAAGTAAATCTTTTTGGTAAAGTGCGACCCATTTGGATTTCTGTGTACCAAAGGCTTTTCAGGCTGATGGTGATTGTTTGGGGAAACAGATGCTTGACCATAAATTCCTCCTTCAATGGCTGCCTTCTCACTGCCATCACAAGAGGACAAAAGATGTCACAGAGGCCATTATGCTGCTACTCCAATCCAATATGTTGCTAAAGGACTCAAGCGGGTAGGGAGATGGCCAGAGTTTGGCAATCAGACAATGGAAGCCATAGGCTGGCCTTAATTCATGTCAGAAAGAGATCTGGCAACGGGGAGAAACATGACTTGGACTGAGCCAGCTGTTAGGTTGCCAGGGAGCGGCTTAGGTTGGTTTTCTCTTACAAATGTTGTCCGACTGACATGGACAGAATATCTAAAATGATGGAACAAAAGCAAAGACGGAATTATTTGTACACATTATAGATTTCCTTTTTTTTACTTTCTTTATTTGTGCTTGAATGTTTCAGATTATACAGCAGATTTTCTAAACCAAAAAAGATAAGAGTAAATGCTTCATCTTATTTATCAAGATGAAAAGCTATTCAAAACAACCTGGTGGGATACAGAATAGTAATTGCTCCTAATTCTGATAACTGGTTGTGGCAGATTTGGCAACAATTGCTGTCAATCAGTCTTTTCCAGTAAGGTGGAGGAATGTTGGCTTAGTGTTCTTTGCAGATCTGTTTAAATCCAGTCACACTGGAGGGTTTCAGGAGCATGAACAGCCTGTTTCTGGTCAGATCACTGCATCTCAATGAGATTTTAGTACAGACTTTGGCAAGCCTACTTCAAAACCCTTCATTTGATGATTTCTACCCGTTCACAGGTGGGATTGGTGGTGTGCTGTGGATCAATTGAGTTTCTGCATAATCTAGGTCTGGCTTGTGCTTAAGGTCTTTCTGTGAGGATTTTGTGGCAGACAGCATAATTCATTATTCTATCAAGATGTCTTCAGGGTTCTGAGGCTTTTACACTTACACCGCTGTTCGCATGACATTCAATATTTGTTCTTTTTTTGACCGATCTGACAAGGTTTCACGCCTTGCTGTCCACAGAATGGTTTTCCCAAGACTCTTGGCGATCATCAATGTGAGACAGGCCTTCATGTTTGTTTTCATCTTTAACCCAAAGAGGCCGAAGCTGCTCAAGACTTTGTTCTTTGTTATGTTGTGACTTCCTGGATGAGTCTCCAATGATTTCTTGTTAGTGCATTTGGTAAGCTGGCTTGTCATTGTTCCAGATTTTCTCTGTTTGTGGATAATGGTTGATTTCTGGTTTTGTAACCCTGTCCAGCCTGACTGAAGGTGACTTTTCTTAATTATAGATTAAGATATCATGAGTTTAAAATTCCTGATTTGTTTAAATCAGGGGGTTTAAAGAGATTTAAATCTCCTTATTTAAATCTCTTTAAAGCAGGGGAAGATGCGCTGCTCTTAAGATCACATCTTACAAGCATGTTCATGTTGTTAGAGAGGCTTTGGGAGTTGTTGGTGAAACTAACTAGAAACTAGAAGCGTGGGAAATCGCATTAATTTCTTGATTTTACAAGGTGGGCAATTACAAAAAAAACAACAACAACAAAAAAACGTGAAAAAAGGAGATTTCTGTAAGGGGTAAATAGTTTTTCCACAGAACTGTACAACCACAGAAGTCATCTTACCCAGTTCTATGTCCTGATCATCTGTGAGAATAAGAATGATGTTGGGCCGGACGTTTCTCATCTGGCGGTCCCTTTGCAAACGAGACCTGAGGCGAAACCCAGACAGGTAGCCGGAGCCCTGTGCCTCAGAAATGACTCCCACCAAGACAAGTACGAGAAGAAGAGGGGGAACGGCAGGGTGTCGTCGCCCTGCCATCTTTTCAGCTTACAGTGCCACCTCAGTCCTTCATTCACCACACGGGGAGTCGACAGATCTCTCTGCAGCCTGTGAAACAGGACACAGGAGGGATCTGATAAGAACAAAACATTTAAAACCCAACACACACACACACACACACACACACACACACACACACACACACACACACACACACACACACACACACACACACACACACACACACACACACACACACACACACACACACACAAGGAAAAAATAAGCAGATGCAAGCCATACGCAGCCATTACAGGGTGTTCCTTCTGCTCAAATGCACCCGATTGGGCTGAGCTCAGCTCGTTAATCAATCATTAATGATGCATTAGAGTGGTGTCATTGGCTGGTTGTAATGATTGCTGGTGATGAGCACATGGCTGCCAGGCTGGGGCTAATGGGCCTGGGACTCGGGCCAGCTCAAGCCTCACCTCTCCCTGAGAGGGTTTTGTGGACAGGAGGGATGCAGAGTGGTGTGGGGTCAGGAGGACGGATGGAGGTTAAGGAGTGACAAAAGCAGAAAAAGCAGGTCAGAGTGAGAGAAGGGAGGAAAGAGGTTACAAATGCTATTTTTAAATAGCAGCAAGTAATCAGTGTACATAAAAAAGGAAATATTTGTGAACATTAAAGCATAAAAGTGACATGTATAATTGAAACCAAACTCAATACACTCCTAATATGTTGAGAGAGTGACAAATTCTTGTTATGTAAAGTCAACAAAACTGTTTAATCGCAACACCAAAAATTGTCACCAGTTTTTCACATTTTTTTTTAATTTTACTGCTGGAATCTCAAAAATGTTGTTTTGGCTTTGGGCAGCTCAATGAAGTTACAAAATAAAACGGGTTGTCGACTCTAAGCAATATCAATGTCATGTTGCCTTTTGCTGGAGGAAAATGTCTATTTTATTGGCTTATACAAGAACAAGCCAATAAAATACTTTAATAAACAAATATAACTAAAATATTGTCTATGTATATTCTTTAAAAAGGTCTTCCACTGACATATAGTGAGAATTTTATTTCTGCATGCATTTTTAGAAGAAGTGTAAGCGTAAGCCTGGCTAGCCGCTAGCATACCACGTAGAGCGCTATGCTGTGTGCCAAACGTTTGGGTGTTTGTTGTATTTATCGTCAGGTTCTTTTTGTTTTTTTACACAAATCCTAAAAATATCAGATGTTTTAGATTTTCTAGTCTTGATAGAACCCCAGAATAATGCGTGCTTGCTACATCACTGTAATTCCCACAGTTGAAAAAGATGCACCTGAAAGTGACTGTTCAGGGAGCACGAAGGCGAAACAAGTCGATTTTCCTGCTCGACTACTGAATGGTGAAGCAGAAGTGACCTATATGGAAGACAAGGAAGATATCAAAGTTTTTCTTGTATTTTTTTTATGAATTACATAAAGTATGATGTAGTGTTCAAATCTAAAACAAGAACCTGCCTTTCCAGTGTTTTATCGGCTGCTGAAATCAATGCCTCCCATGAACACACTTTTTAAAGAAGCTGTTATTTTGGTGCTGCACGCATTTCAATGGGGAGCTGACAGCGAGCTCAAATGTTGTGTCTAATTAATGATGACGCATAGCTGGAGCCGCGACACGGCCCAGTGACCGCAGCTACAAGCGCAGTTAACATCATGCAGCATCTGTGTGTCTGTGGAGATGTTCTGCTGTCATGCAGAGGTGAGGGTCTGGATCATTTTTGTGTGTATGAGAGACTCTCTCGCACATTGATAATCTGCAGAAAATGAACAAATGTACGTAGTTAATCGAGTCTGGATGCACATGGGCTTTGCTGTTATTCAGAGGCAGACAGATTTGTCGGCACCAAATCAAAAATGGTTGAAATGGAAATGTGTATTTTATTGCAGCAGCAGAATCTCACCCATTTTTAGGAGAAATTCAACCTGTATTTGAGTATATTTATAAAGTCGGAGAGTAATTTTTTAACAAAACTACAATTTTAAAATAATCTGATGAGTTACTTTTAAAATTAAAATTTTTATTTACTTTGTCACATTGGCTTCTGATTAATGATCTCTCACATTCGGTTTTCTCTTACACAGAGAGCAGCCCAATGGCCACAGAGGCAAAACTAATTCTCCAAAGCTCAGGAGCTGAAAGTGGCTAGTAGCATAATGGTGGGTAACAAAATCTCCATAGCAACCAGCGGTAGACATTTTGGAAGCCAGGAGCTCAAGTGTATCCACCAGTTTGATACTGGGAACATCACACATCACACCATTTCATATCAATAGCCATATGCTGTCTTTCAATTTGCACAACACAATTAAAAACAAAGAAAGGATTTCAGACTTTTTTTTATCTGGAGGAACGAAATGGCAGGCGCTTTAACAGCTTCTGTCTCTATCCCTAAACACAACCAATTGATCCATCTGGTCTTTAACCAGAACCATGTGCTGTGGTCAAATGAGACTGAGTTTGAACCTTTCAGTAACTAAACACTCCAGGGGCATTTTTCAGCAAACAAAGGGTGAATCCAAGTCAAGCTTGCTGTTAGGCACGGTAGAGGGAGTGTGGTGGTGTTGGCTTGTTTCTCTTGAAAATACCCTGGAAACCTTGCTAAAGTGAACGGCTTCTTAAAATTTTTAAAAACACCAAATGATTGTAAATTCAAATCTGGTGGATCCCGGCAATAAACTAAAAATGAGTCTAAAACTGGTCTTTCAACAGAAGAAGGCTGTATAACTGATTGAGATACAAAGTCATCCTTCTTCCGTGTACATAAGGATCCAGATCTAAATGCCACAGGGGTTAGCTAAAAGAAGAGAGCACGCAAGAGAAATCTAGAGAAATTATCAAAGATCTGTGCGTCAGTGTGGCCCAACCTTTCAGAAATGTTGTAGGAGGATGTCAGGAGGAAAAAGTGAGATAGATGTGCCTATTCCAAATGAAGGGTTGATTTTTCTACTTTTTTTTCCAGGGTGAGCTTATGTCCGTTCAATAAAAGATGCATTTATTTCAAAGCTTTTCACATATCTTCACCAGCACTCCAACAAATTGCTGCACTTCATCACAGGATCCCAGCAGATTATTGAGCTCTGAATGCAGCAGCGCTGCATTCCAGCACTGTTTCTGCTCCATAGTGTCCAGATTGTGCTCATTAAGGACCTCCCTAATGCACCAACATCTACATCTCTTCCCTCCTCTTTCCTGTCCTCCATGGTTCTGCATCGCACACACCTACACATGCAAATCTACTGTGTGACTGTGTACATTACAGTCTGAGGTAAAATCTATGACAGGGCTGTATTTGCTCCGGTTTCCAACACCCGGGGCACGCGCTGCCTCTTCCCCAGGGGAACATCTGATCTCTGACCCGAGGCGATGTGCTGCTTGGAAATGTCCTTGCTCCCGTTTTTTTTTTCTATCCGTTCTGCCTGCCTGGCTCTTCCTTTCATCTTGAGTGTTGGATAAATATAAAAAAAAAGAAAGAAAAAAAAAACAAAACAAGGCACCAACGAGAAAAGATTATCTAATGTTAAAGAAATAAAAATAATGAAAAATGTCCATTGAACTAGCTTTGTTTATATTTAGCTGTGAATACATTTTCACAGAGAATCGAGGGTGGATTTGTGTCGATGTGGAGATCATCCTCCGCCAGTGGCTCCTTCGTTCTCAGTGGTTTGTGAACGTTGGAAGGCGCTGTGCTCGCCTTTGATATTTGCTTGAGACGTTTCAAAGAGCTGATGTGGGCAAACCATAGACTGTAAAAGAAAAAGCCAAAATCTGCACCACTCTATAGGGAAAACTGTAGTTCTCGTCTTCAAAGAAAGTATTCAGATATATTTTTGTAAAGATCTATCAATGGCCTCATATGTAAATGAGGGAGTACATCCATTTTATGGCTGTGAAGATTTCCTTGCCGTACTCCCGTGAAAGCCGTCTTCTTCCACCTGATACTGAGCGATAATTGGATTTTCAGGCTTTTATCATTTGACACTTGGACTTATTTCTTCCCAGTTTGCTCTTCCCCTCTATCTTTTATCAGCAGAAATTGTTTATCCAACTGTGCGACAGATGATACATGAAACAAACAAACTAAACAACAACAACAAAAAAAAGCAGATAAAAACAACGTCCGACAGTGCCGAGGGCGTGACATCTCCAAAGATGTGTGGAAAAGCAGAGGAGGACAGCTGGTATGCAGTGGGGAAAATGAGCTTTGAACATGTCAACATTTTTTCCCAGCAGAAAAATTTCTAACAGGGACAGTGACATGAAACTCAGGCCAGATGGCGATAAAATTAACATAAAAAGGCCCTTAAATTATGTCGGACACAAACAAATGGCTCAGAAAATAATAATTGAACATTTTTGATAACGAAAACTTCAAACCATCTCCTGCATGTAAAAATTAATCATCTGGTGGGTTTTCAGATCTTAAATTCAAGCGCGAGCTTTTCCAGCAGCTTTAATTATGTTCTCTGAAGCCAGCAGAGAGTTTCAAAGGCTGTGTGTTTGAGATTATCGAAAACTCCACCCTTGTTTCATCTTTAGATTTGTTGAAAAATGTCCCAATGCGTTGCTCCGTTAATCCTTCACTCAGTTCTACTTCGTCTGCCGGTACCACATGTTGAAGACGAGTGACAGCTTGACATTTTCACACCTTTAAACCTCATTGTCCCGATGTCATTCTGAGCTCCTCTTAAGATTTTGTCAAATTCTTCCTGTACGTCATTAGCTTGTCGAGATGTCCTGCAACTGCAACTTGGAACTATAAAAACTGATTGTTTTTCTCGACTCCACAAACAGAGCCAGGGGAAGGGTCTTAGCGCTGTCAATCATCCTTATGTATGCGCTGCTAAATGTGCTAAAGGAAGAGAAACCACTTTCTAGATCAGTTCTATTAATTATAATAAAAGCAACAAACGTTAGTTTGCACTGGAGTGGGTTGTGTTTGCTTTCTAAATGCAAAAGAATTTCAGCAACCGTTCTGGCTTTCCATATTTTTTTTTTATCTTTCCTCATCTCCAGTAAGGTTAATAGTCTATAGTCTCATTTCTTTTGATTTTTTTATATGCTGG